AAACAAAAATGTCCTAGTTGTGTCCAGCCTCTTTTCGGAAGGATCCCTACAGCATGTTAGCTAGGACCCGACGTCATGCAGAGATACACTTCAAACTTGTACTCSCTGAGGGTGGGCAGAGAATATATAGTCTGGATTCGAATTCAGGTCTGTGCATGTCGGTTATGGGTCACCATTTCTCTGTTTTCTCGCTTTTCTTTTCTTTTCTCGTTTTTCTTTTCTTAGGAATATGTGCAGTGGCCCTAAGGGCCTTTACTCACCAAATGCACAAAAGACAAAACATATGGTTGGCGTATTATTCCATGTTCTGCAGAAGATTCATTCTAATTTTGCACATTTCGTAGTAGTGCATCCAAGCCCTAAGAGTCACGTGCAGAGACCAACAGGCCCTAGCTACGTGAGCAACCCATAACTGCTGAAACACAGACCTGAATTCGAATCTTGAGTATATATTCGCCCAGCTCGTGCTCTATTTCATATTCACTGCCTGCCTCGATTTTGGTGGGGGGGTCTGCGCTACATGTCTACAAGGACCCTTCAGATAGCCTGCATGGGCCGTCTGAGCCGTGTTAAGGGGATCCGTCCTGCCGGGCTGGGCCCAGCTGGTTGGGCCCGGGGGGGCCACCCGAGTAAACCGGCCAGGACAAAAAAACGCCCAGATTTTTTTTATTTTTTTTTTGAAACCGGGGTCGTTCTGCGCCCGGCGAGAGGACGCCGAATCTGCAATAAAATTTTGGTTTTGGTGGGGGGATGGGGTGGTCTGGGTGCGGGGTGCTGGGGTTGGGGGGATGTCTGTGATGGGGCGCAGATGCGTTTTTTTCTTCTTTTTTTTTCTGTAAGGGGTGTGTGTGTATACAAGGGGGAGAGAGAGAGTGTTACATGCAGCGTGTGCACACACGGGCCATTTTGCAGGCCCGACAGCGTTCAGGCCAAAAGCCTGAACTTCAGGCCGAAAGCCTGAATTTCAGGCTGAAAGCCTGAAATCCAGGGCTTACAGGCCCCCTGTCGGTTCAGGCCAAAAGCCTGAAGTCCAGGGCCTATCCCTGGTCGTTTCAGACTAAAAATGGCAACAGCCTTTTTAGCCTGAAACAAAGGGCCATTTTCGGTCGTTCATCAGAACGACCGGCCCTGAAACTCAGGCACCGAACCAGGGTTTCGGAAACAGACTATTATTAGTCTGTTTCTCACGCCAGCCTCAAGCAGGCTGCTGCACGCCAGCCCCTGGCACATTTCGGCATTGGCAAGAGCTGCCTCCTCGGCCTGACTGCCCTCCAGTAGTCAGGAGGCAGGCCGAGGTAGTACATAGGACTTCCCAGGCACTTCCGAGGTAGGC